CTCCAACGCTTCCAATCGAAAACGCTAAGATCCCTAATTGACGCACCTTGGTACGTAACCAATGAAACAATACACCACGACCTCAAGATACCCACCGTCAAAGAGGAAATAGCAAAATATAGCGACAGATATAGCAAAAGAATCAACAAACACCGAAACCCCCTAATCACTGGACTACTTGATACGACGGACCAGATTCGCAAGCTGAAGAGGCACTACCCGCTAGACCTAAACGCTAGATTCAATTAGTTATCTAAATTAAGTAATATTCACTTATTTATAACACTTACTTATAAATTATACTTATCTATAATAAGTACTAACTTATTATAAATAATCAGCCATTTCACTGCGCCTTCACTGCGCCACGCCAGAAAAATTACGCCACGCCAGAAAAATTACTGAAAATTCTCAACGCGAGAATTGATTGTAATTTTAATAAATAAATAAAAGAAAAAAGAGAAAAAAAAGAAAGAAAAGAAACGAAGTACGATGGAGACATTGAGCAATAAATTATATGACGAAAGAGCACTTGCCGAAATGCAAAGGTAACGAGAACTTCATTTGCAAAATCAAATGAATCCAGGATCAAACCATTCGAAGAAATACCTGCAAAAAAGATTTCTTTCAAATAGCTCAACTCAATCGATGAATATACGTATAGACTGAGTTATTGCAAAAAGAAAAAAGAAAGAATAATACAGAACAATATTATTACGGGATATTTTAGAACATGTCCTACGAGATGCAAATTCCGGTTCGTTAAGCCGTTGCGAAGAAACCGGTAAACAAAAAAGAAAAAGTCACTACTCACCGAATTGAGATACCTTTCTTATTTCCGAAGAAGTATTAAAAACGTAAAGACGTTTCTATGACACATCCAGCTTCATTAGAACAAATGAATCGTATAGATATTCACAGAAAAAAATCTGGCTGGCTCTTATCCATTTGTGTTCTCAATATCTTTTTCTAAGTTTATCATTATCTTTTGTACATTAATCACACTGGAATGCAATTTATCCATTGGCATTTCTATTGATCGCATTGCTTAAATGAATCTGAAGCTTTTAGGATACTCTAACAATTGAGTTACGTTAGTTAAACAAATTCTGTAATAAATATCGATTCCGTACTTGATGGGACGTGCGCTGCTCGTACAGTTGTAAACTTTGACCCTATTATCAATATGTAGCGTGACGTGCCACGCGGCACACATTATCACATCGACTACATAATCAATAGGCACTATATCTGATATTACATCTGCCTTACCCAATAGTACTTTTGCAATACCATTGCCGATATTCATGAAGATACCTGCAACGTCAAATTGGTTCAAAAGTTATTAATGATTCTCAACTGTCTCGAAATGTA